TTTTGTTTGTTTTTGTCTCTCTTTGTGTTGCTGCTGTCTTCGGGTGTATATTCTGTTTGATGTTTGTTTTACTATGTTTTGTTGGTGCTGCTGCTGCTGCTGTTGCTGCTGCTACTCGCCTTTACTTCATATTCTCTTTTTGTCTATCTTTGCTGCTGCAGCTGTCTCCTCAGCTTTGTTTGTTTGTCTCTTCATTTCTCTCAATGTTCTGCTGCTACTTCGATACAATCTCTCTACTGAATTAGGGTTTAGGGTTTAGGGTTTAGTGCTGCTGCTATACGTATAGGGTGTACAGGTCCTTGCGGTGTATCTGCTGCTCTGCAATACAAAATAAAAACAAACAAACTAAATAAATAAATAAATTAAATAAATTAATAAATAATAAAATAAATAAATAAATTATTTTAATCAGGTTTAAGAAGAGTCTGTCTTCTTTTAATTTTATTAAAACCCTCTCTTCCTCCTGCTGCAGCAAATGCTGCGGTGTATGTACACCTTACAAGCAGCAAACACAATAACTATATATAAATACATCTACATATACATAATATATATAATATATATGTATATATATATATATTATATGTGTATATATATATAATACAATATATATAATATATATAAGGCGAAGAGAAAGAAAGAAACAGACAAAGAAAGAGAGAGAGCAAGGAAGTAATAGCTGCAGCAAACCCTAAACCCTAAACCCTAAACCCTAAACCCTCGCAGAGGAGTTTAGAGTATTTATTTCGTCTGTGTTTGCCGACTGGGCATCAAAAAGAGTTTAAAAAAACGGATATCTTCTATACATGCAGCAGATGTTTGCTGCAGGGCATTAGGGTTTAGGGTTTATTAGGGTTTATTAGGGTTTACTAGAGTTTATTAGGGTTTACTAGAGTTTATTAGGGCTTACTAGGGTTTACTAGGGTTTATTAGGGTTTACAGACAGAGATTGTAAGGGTTTTTCAGAGTACAGAAAAGATTTTTAGGGTTTATTAGGGTTTATTAGGGTTTACGCTTAGGGTTTATTAGGGTTTATTAGGGTTTACTAGGGTTTAGGAGTTGCTTGGCTGCACAGTGTTTGAAGAGAGTGCTGAGGGTTTAGGGTTTAATCAATTTGCTGCTGCGGTGTATTTGCATCTGTGGGTTGATTGCTGCTGCTGCTGCTGCTGTTGTTGTTGTTGCTGCTGCTGCTATCGCTGTTGCTGCTGCTGTCTTTGCTGCTGCTGCTCTTTTGCTGCTGCTCCACTTGAGGTGTATGTACAGCAGCAGCTTCGTTATTTGCTGGTGGCTGCGATGCTGCTGATTGCCCCGCTGCTGTTTCTGCTGCTTTCCCTGCTGCTACTGTAGCAGCAGCAGCACCAGCAGCAGCAACAGCACCAGCAGCAGCAGCAGCAGCAGCAGCAGGAGCATAAGAAACTTGAATTGAAGAAAACGTTGGGACCCTGCTGCTGTCTAATCGCAGATTAGCTGAGCTGTCCACCTCGAAGTCGTCCTCAGTAAACTAAACAAATAAAAATAAATAAATAAATAAATAAATAAATAAATAGATTTAAATAAATAAATAAGATTAAGAATAAAGAATGCAATATAAAATATATATCGGGGAGAGAGAGAGGATCAGCTGCTGCAGCAGCAGCAGCAGCAGCAAACAGCAGCGGCAGCAACAACAGCAAATTCAGCAACACCAAACGTAACAACAGCAGCAGCAGAAGGAGCAACAGCAACAGCAGCAACAACGAGAACAGCAGCAACAATAGCAGCAGCAGCAGCAGCAGCAGCAGCAGCAGCAGCAGCAGCAGCAACTAACATGGTCATGGAAGTCGAGCTCCGCTCCCCACACCTGCGGTGCCGATGCCTGAGAAATAAATAAAAATAATTAAAATAAATTAATTAAAATAAATAAATTAAAATAAATAAATCAAAATAAAATACAAACAGAGATAACTCAACCTCCCTCCAAGCACAACAACGTATGGCAGCAGCAGCAGCAGCAGCAGCAGCAGCGTCAATACCCCAGCAGCAGCAGCGGCAGCAGCAACAATACCCCAGCACATGCAGCACCAGCAACAGCAGCAGCAGCATCAACAGCACAAGCAGCACAAGCATCAACAGCACAAGCAGCAGCAGCAGCAGCAGCAGCAGCAGTACATTATGTTTATTTGTTTGTGTCGAGAGCTCTAAGTCGTCGGTGTCTCCAATCTCAGTGAAGTAAGCCAGCCTAATAAATAAAATAAACAAACAAATAAAATAAATAAATAAATAAATAAAATAAATAAATAAATAAATAAATTCTATAAATAATATAAATAATTAATTACACAGATAAAACAAATAAATATGTAAAATAATAAAATATATATATAATCTGCAGCAGCAACAACAGCAGCAGCAACAGCATCAATACCCCAGCAGCATCATCATCAGCAGCAGCAACAGGATCATCAGCAGCATCATCAGCAGCAGCAGCAACAGTAGCAGCAGCAACAGCATCATCAGCAGC